TATATATAATATATATTTTATAATATATTTATATATATATATTAATAATATATATATATATATATATATATATATATATATAAATATAAATATTTATTATATATATATATTAAAAATTTTTATATATATATATATATATATATATATATATATATATAAATACATATATGTATATTAACATACATATATATTATATAAATATATATATATATATATATAAATTTTTATATATTTTTATATATAATATAATTTTATATATATTATTACACATCCATATATATATATATAATATATATATATATAAATATATATTTTATATATAATATATATACATACATACATTATATATATATATATATATATATATATATATATTTTATATATTTTATAAAAAAACATATATATATATATAAATATATATATATATAAATATATAATATATAAATATTATATATAATATATATATATATATATTAATATATATGCAATAAGATCACAGTAAACTGTGATTTCAGAATATGCAAAACAACCACTCTGAAAAAATAGAGAAATTCCAAGCGCTTTCGTGACTACTACATTATCAAGGGAAACTATACATATATAGTTCCTTGATAATGTGAGTAGTCACGAAAGCGCTTGGAATTTCTGTATTCTTTCAGAGTGGTTGTTTTGCATATTCTGAAATCACCTGTTTACATATATATATATATATAATAATATATATATAATATATATATATATATATATTTTATATATATATAAAATTTTATATTTATAATATCACGAAATTTGAAAAAAAGTGTTTGAAGAACTCATCAAAGATGAATGAGAGTCTTAATTTCTGATTTAATTCCAAAGGCATCAAGTCAGTACGACTCGAGAGAGGGATCCACTGACCTGGGTACAGGGTGATAATGATCGACCAATTCCATGTGCATGTATTGAGTGGTATGATTTATATCAAGTGTGTGATGGATCTGTGTGTAGAAGTGTGTGTATGGGTGTCTGGAGGATCTGTGTGCGTGAAGTGTGTGTGTAGTGTGTGTGTGTGTAGTGTGTGTGTGTGTAGTGTGTGTGTGTGTAGTGTGTGTGTGTGTGCTTAGTGTTTTGTGTTCTAGTGTGTGTGTGTTTATTGTGTGTGTGTTTAGTGTGTGTGTGTGTGTGTTTAGTGTGTGTGTGTTTTAGTGCGGTGTGTTTAGTGTGTGTGTTTAGTGTGTGTGTTTTTTAGTGGGGTGTGTGTTTATTTGTGTGTGTGTTTAGTGTGTGTGTTTTAAAGTGGGTGTGTGTGTTTAGTGTGTGTGTTTTAGTGTGTGTGTGTTTAGTGTGTGTGTGTTTAGTGTGTGTGTGCTTAGTGTGTGTGTGTGTTTAGTTTGTGTGTATTCAGGGTCTTAAAGATCTTCAATGAGAGGGGAGGGTGTGTGGGTGCATTTAAGGGAGCTGTATGTGAATTTCATACCCATATTTTGCAATCATTTTTTTATTTTTTTATTGGTATGTTAGCACTTTCCTAGATAATAACACTAATAATAATAATAATAATAATAATAATAATAATAATAATAATAATAAATATACAACAACAACAACAACACCAAATAAATAATAATAATAATAATAATAATAATAATAATAATAATAATAATAATAATAATAACTACAATAACAACAGGAGCACTCCTGTGGAACACTCAGAGAGTAACTCCCAGGCAAGTCAGGTGACTTAACCTCTTCCTCACCTTGTTTACCAGTTGATTCTACTCAAATTATCTACATAAGAAATCCCCCACAGGTGCTAAGGCAAGACTTACTGCAAATGAGACCAGAGAATCCCTAGACACCCGAGCAAATCTCCCCTCCCCCTCCCCAAAAAAAAAGAAATAGTTGGTTTATGTGATCGGATGAGATTGGAAAAGGTTATGGAAAGAGCAGGGAAGGAGCAGAAGGGAGAGTAAAAGAAGGAAAGGGTCAGAGGTAATATTGACAGAAGATAGTTGAAGAGTCACCCAAGAGTGTAAGAGAGAGATACAATAGATAAAGGTTTAGAAAGGGCAGATGCAAGGGGAAAAGAGTGGGCAAATCAGATGCACAAGGGAAACAAGTAAAAAATTCTAAACATCGATCTTAAAAATCGATCCTAAACATTGATCCTAAACATTGATCCTAAACATTGATCCTAAACATTGATCCCAAACATTGATCCCAAACATTGATCCTAAACATTGAGCCTAAACATTGATTCTAAACATTGATCCTAAACATTGATCCTAAACATCGATCCTAAACATCGATCCTAAACATCGATCCTAAACATTGATCCTAAACATTTATCCTAAACATTGATCCTCAACATCGTTCCTAAACATTTATCCTAATCATAGATCCTAATATAGATCCTAAACATCAATCCTAATTATAAATCTTTAACATTGATCCTAAACATTGATCCTGAACATTGATCCTAAACATCGATCTTAGAAATCGAACCTAAATACCGATCCTA